TTTAGCCTTGACTAGACTTGTAACTGACCGGAGAACTACTGCATCAGCTGTTCTCAATTTATAGCTAATTAGAATTCTCTAGAACATGGTAGAAATTACCAGGACCATTTGGAATGGTAAAGAAGCTTGCATTTTCTCAAAAATTTGCAGCAATTCCAAGGGGTATGAACTTTGGACATGGCATTTTTAGTAAAAATATAAAACAGAAATTTTAGGATTATTATACGTAGCACAATGTCTTACAATCGTTTGTCAGTTGTTTATGTCATTTCCAGCCTGAAGAAACCTAATGGTCAAATAAAACATATATACAGGGTGATTCAAAAAGATTCATCCAATTTCAAAATGATTTACTTCACTTGTAAATCATTATAGAACAATGCAGTAAATTGTAAATGGTTTAAGAGAGCATAAAGTTTATTATGTAATTTTACAAGTGCTCAATATGAACCTCCTCCAGCCATACGGACAACATCAACACCATAGTCTAATTCATCCCATACTAGATTGAGCATGTCGGGTGTCACTGTACTCATGGCTCTTTCATTGTGATTTCAGAGATCATCCAGTGTTGTGGAACCAACAACGAATGCTCCGAGATGTTGGAGGTTCACTGCTGACGAAAATCACACTGTATAGTTCTGACGGATTCACTTTTATTGAAGTGGAGAACGCAAAACACTTTCTGCTCAGGGGTCGCAATCTCCCCGCAGACTGAAGGGAGCCATCTTCCGGTAACAGTCAGAAACTCTGTGACCCCCTCTTACAACTGGTATGTGATTGGTTCCTAGTCGCCTCACAGTGGTAAAAATATGGCGCTTTGAAATCGGATGAATGTTTTTGAATCACCCTGTACTATAAATCATACTTTATATACTATAAATCAAAACTTGGCATGGGTATGACTAATTTTTGGCTTAACTGTATATATAAAATATAAAAAATATCCCATTGTTAGATTAGTTACTACTCAAAACTACATAAAAGCTCCTGAATGTTTACTTTATCTATATATCACATTCATCAAAACCTTATAGAAATCTCCATTTATGTCAACACTAGAAGTTAAAACAAAGGTAAAGAGCACAATTAATGAAAAAGACTAACAGTGTTTCTAAGCACCCCTGCCTCACTTACTGCCTCACTCCCTGCCTATAATACAGCTATTCTCACTTAATGTCTGTCAGACTCAGTCTCCCTCTTTTCTTTTCTGATGCCAACCAGAAAAACACAAATTGATATTTCAGCTTAATCGCAGTCCTAATATTCCCCTCGCACCCTAATGGCTTATTAATCCTCTGTCATATCTATTCTGTTCTTTTCACTAATCCTGATCTTCATGGCCAGATGAGCACTTATAGAGCAGTATCAGTTTCAAATGGTACCACCATCATCAGCTTTAAGAGTGATTGTGTCTGTGTGTGTGTGTGTGTGTGTGTGGGTGGGAGTGTTGGGTGGGTCTGGGAGGTTTCTTCATGCACTCTAGATAGAAAGTGTGGGATGAGGCAAGTAAGATTTGTTTCTCTTGAAATGTTCCCCTTTATTACTCTTGCTTACTGTTTTTAGACTCTGGTGTTATGCAGTTTCAGAAAAAAATAAACTGTACATCAGAGAGACTGCAAGGCATGAACCAGCGTCTCTCAGTCCTGGTCCCAATCCACCCAAACAATACCTGCCCTGTGGTGGTCCTGTGGGGGTCCTGATCATTAAAGAACAGGGTGAAAGGGGGCTAACAAAGTATGCAGAGAAACAGATGTACTACAGTCTGTAGTGTGTTGTAGAACCACAAGGTGCACTTATGTGGTAAGTGGAGCTGATATAATGGAAAATGAGTGTAGAAACAAGGAGGTGTACTTAAGGAAGTGGCCGGTCAGAACACATGTATCTTTAAACATTTAAGTTAAGTGACCATTATTAGTTCCACATGGGGAAATTTCACCTCTGCCTTTTGACCCATCCGTGCAGTGAAACACCACATACACACTAGTGAACACACACACACACTGGGGGGGCAGTGAGCACACTTGCCCTGGAGCAGTGAGCAGCCCCAGGGAGCAGTTGGGGGTTAGATGCTTTGCTCAAGGGCACTTCAGTCATGTACTGTTGGCTCAGGGGATCAAGCCGGCGATCTTCCGGTCACGAGGCTGGTTTCCTTACCTCCAGCCCACGACTGCACCCATTATATGTATTCCAAAAGTGCACTGAACACTTTTTGGCCTTTTCACATTTTCTTTAAATGTAATTGATAAATGCATTTTTTTCATACAGGGAAAAGCTAATATACAGGCCAAGGTAAAAAAACTTGAAAAAATTTGAATTTTTTTTAAGTGAAGACAAAAAGAAAGCTTGCTTTTAATAACAAATCTGTTTTCTCTCATGACTTAAGTGTGGCTGGAGGTGAGAAGCAGGCCAGTACAGTGCTAGTTCAGGTGATATTATGAGAGAAAGGAATGAACAGAAAATCACAGCATGTTAACATGATTTTCTGTTTATACGTTTCTCTCGTAATGTCACCTAAACAGAAAATTACAAGATAAATTGGACGTGATCCTCATGTTATGAAGAGGAGTGAATTTTCAACTGAACTGAAGGCTTGCCTGCTATCGAGGCAGTAGATATAAGCAACCATCTTGTCCTTCAGACATTCTTCTACTCATGAAAACAAACAAAAAGCATACTAAAGTATGGAGGCATTCAACTTTACGTGGCTCGAGTTGGCTTCCTGTTCGAATACATTTTCCCGTTCCACCTTAAATGGTGCTGCAGTTATTATTATAACACCTGACCATTTAAGGTGGAACGTGAAAATTCGAACAAGAAGCGGGCATGGCAGTGTAAGTTATTTACATTCGCCAGTGTTAATTGTGTTGCTTGTAGTTATTGTTTTAAATTTATCACCAGTGCACACCCACAGTCAAACTGTGCAAAAAGCAATCCACTCCTCCTGTTTGCAGACCAAGGTTTGCACGCCATGAGTTGGAAACGACTTGATGGCTTTTAATGATATTATTAATAATAGCACCACCACCACAGACAGGAAGGCAGGATTGTTTAGATGTATTTCTAAGAATTTGGCCACTTCCTAAACTAAAACCACTACAACATTTACCACTGACCATATAAGCCAAGTGCAGCACTGTAGTGTTCCTACAGATTTCAGTAATCCAGCGTCCTTCAGAGATTCAGGGTGTTTTATACATCAGGGATGTGTGAGAGGATTTATGATGATGTGATGTGTCCTGAGGAGCTGAACAGAGAAAATACAGTGGAGACGGAGGACACCAACACAAAGAGGACCTTACAAACACAACAAGCAGGTAGAAATAACAAATTCTCTTCTATAATCATTCTTTACACATAGTATTATTCTGTCAAGCAGCTTTATTTCAGTGCAGGTGACAGTATGTCTTAGTATTGTACTGTATGGGACAGACACTGGGTTTCCAGTTTCCTAGGTAGTCCTACATTGTATCTACTCTTATTGGCAATATTATCAGAAGTGCCAACCATATATGTCACTGCTTGAGTTTCCAGTTGCTGACTGTACACCCTTGAAAAAGATGATTCTTTAAGGGTTCTTCGTTTAAAAAAATAAGAACCATGAACACTCACAGAACACTTTGCATGATTAAAGGGTTCTTTGCGTTATGAAAGTGTTCTTCAGATTGGCGGAGAATGTGCTGTAGATGGTTCTATGTAAAATCTTTTTGACATTTTGACTGATTATGTTGAAATATTGGCTTATTTTCTCAAGATTATGACTATGTCAAAATGATGTCTTATTTGCAACTGGACACTTCCATATTGTTAATATATGTAGCACTGGTCTTCATCAATATAATCCTATATCATTAAACATACCTGTGTAGAAATTATTTGACTTGGTTAATGTTTGATAGGCAATATGTATTAGCATCAGAGAGCAAAATGCGCCCCCCCCACCCCCACTCAAAATCAGGCACCCCTGGACACGGGAATACTTTGACCAATCATTGTCAATAAACACTGTTCGTCACTGCATCCACAAATGCAAGGTAAGAGTGTAATTTCCACAGTGGAAGCCACATGTTACCTAGCAGGCAGTGTACTAGGGACAGCTGCAGTGATGAGAAAAAGAAAGAAAAGTTCTATCTTTTGGATCCTGCATGACTGCCTTCCTACTGTTGAAGCACTGAGGTCGTGATGTGAATTCCATGTTGTTGTCTGAACAGCTGTTACATCTGAAAGGTCATTTCTTTTTAGCTTCAAGACATCACACTGCAGAGAGCAGATTCTACAGACTTGTTGCAGTGTTTCTGGGGCTGCTGTGTGTCCTTCTGCTGACTGTCATCGCACTGCTGTGGGTCAAGCTCACTACAGAGAGAGACCAGTTACAGGCCAGTTACACCAACCTTACTATAGAGAGAGACCAGTTACAGACAAGTTACACCAACCTTACTACAGAGAGAGACCAGTTACAGACAAGTTACACCAACCTATTTTTGAATGAAAAACAGCTGCAGGGTAAAATTAATCAAGTGACTAATGAAAAGAAAGAATTACAGATCAGATACAACACCATGAGAAAGCAGCTGGACGTTTTGCAGAAGAAGTTGACTGACTTAGGTGAGTAAATAGTAAAATACATAACTGGCTAACAGTGTATTGTGGCTGATTACTGCTGATGATTGGATGCTCGTTTGGGCTTCTAACGTGTTACTCTTTAAAATATAGATAACCTTTTCATCTCTAGGCGTCTGTCTCACAGTGCAGTATTTCTTACTTACCCAGATAAATTTAAGCTTAGTTGGATCTAACCCTGGAGGCAGTGGTGAAAGCTTTGCTTTTTACTGTTATAAACGCTTTGCTCTTCATGTAAGAATATACTTCTTAACTTCTAATTGGTGTAGAGGGAATAATCAATCAGCGTGGGTGTGTGCATGTGTTCCAAGACCTGCACAGACAAACAAATAAAGCAAATATGGATGTAATTTTCTGTTTGACCAGATACACACAACAAGATGGGATGTTTTTACTTCAGCTCCAGTGTTTACTACATCTCTACTGGAGAGAAGAGCTGGAGTAAGAGCAGAGAGGACTGTAGAGAGAGAGGAGCAGACCTGCTGATCATCAACAGCAGAGAAGAGCAGGTGAGTCAGTGAGTTAGTGAGAGAGTTAATGTGAGGGGGACAGATAGAGAGAGAGAGAGACAGAGAGCGAGAGAGAAATAAAGAATGTCACTGTTCTAAATCTGCATATTCTAATATTGTGTTTCCAGGAATTCATTGCTAATAATATCGGCAGTGGTAACAGTGGTGACATCTGGATTGGTCTGACCGACAGTGCCACAGAGGGGGTCTGGAAATGGGTGGATGGCTCAGCTCTGACCACTGAGTAAGAAACTTATATTACGTGTTCAAATGTGGAGAAGACTGCAACACTTACAGAGACATTTCAGCCGAAATTAAAAAGTTTACCATCCATACATCTGTTGCAAAAAAAGTCCTCGCTGCTCAAGATACATTTAGTTAGGGAACATAATTATGCCATATTCTGTTATAGTCGACACCAGAATTATTGGCTCCTGCCATGTGGCCATTTTGTTGAGCGATCTCGTATTGACCCTTTTCACAAGAAATGAAAGTATTGAATGGCGTATACAAAAATTCTGCAATTGCCTTACAGACAATTATTGCCCTCAAAAATACTAGCGTTCCTCTTCAGCTTAGCATGGAAAGATATGTCACTTTATCTTTGTCATAGTTGCCAAGATTGAAATTCGAGGATGTGTCCAGAACTGTTAGAGAACACCATACACGCAACAGTGTGGGAGTCCAAGCTGAAAAAAAGATATAAATTCCTTGTCGGAGAATTCCTTCACAGCTGTCAAAGTACGACAACATCAGCTAACGTCTACAGAGTCTATACGATGGGCGTGTGGAAATAACCAAAAAGCTAGATTAGCCATGTTAGCTGGAGATGTTGAAACGTAATAAAAGTAATAAACTAGCTAGAAAAAGGTAAACGTGCACATTCTGTCAAGGGAGCAGCCACGTGGTCACGGTCTGTAGCGCTATTGTAGACTTTTTTCCCAACCGCCTGCTCTAGTGAACAAGCATCTACTCATCGCTGAGCACCTGCTCCATTGAATGCCGACATCCTCTGAGGAGGAGTGAAAACTGAAAGCGGCTGCAGCACCAACTTTAAAGCACAAAATGCCTTCAATATAACATTAGCCAGTGGCAGGGAAATGCTGACACAAAGGTTCTTTTCCTCCATATGACAAAATGTAGTCCTTCATTGAAACAAATTGTACAACATTTGTCCTCTGTTCATTATCAGCTAAGAAGCTATTAAAACTGATGTACGGTTGTTTTCGCTATGAGCTCGAACACTTGGGTACATTGCACAAGCTCTATTCATTAGAGCTTCTATGTCCTTATTGCTGCTTTATATAGCAGCGTGAAAAACATGGAATTGTGAAAAGGGCCTAACACTCATTAATGCAGAACAGTTCCAACCTTTTGTGTGGATTTTTTGTGTGTTTGGAATCATTATCTTGCTAAGAGATCCTCCCATGGCCAGATTTCAGCCTGGTAAATGCACACAGACTTTGAGGCCAAAAACTGGCCTGTATCTAACTGAGCTCAGAAGGTTGAGCCACAAGTGTGGAAATGAGAACTAACTTACTGAACAGAGGCTGTTTTTGATTCTCTGGTTTTCAGGTACTGGAGTGGCAGCGAACCAAATGATCTCGGTGGTGATGAAGACTGTGTTGAGTTTTACTCAAATAACAAGAGATGGAACGACAGGCGATGCTCTGATAAAAGAAGGTGGATCTGTGAAAAAAGGGTGTAAAACTGTGATGGAGTAGATGATCAGATAAGTAATGATGATACAGCCTTTGTATACTCAAATGCACATCATATTCTTGTGTTTACTGGTGTGTGAGGTGTGGGGGAGGGAATGGGGGATATTTTTAAAACTATAAAAGGGGCTGCACAACTCCTAGTCTAGAGTATGTTACTGAGTTTGCCCTCTACAAGACTGCAGGGAATTTTTAAATAATATGATTTTAGTACAGTTGTGTGCATGTGTTGCATTCATGACATTTTCACACATTTTTTTTTGGTGTGTGTGTGTGTGTGGGGGGGTGATCTGTATTGCTGTACTGTTGCATTCTTCAGTGAAATGATTTATTACTGTGGTAATTCAATACTGTGCTTTTTAAGCAAATAAAACACTTACGTAATGGTATCATATGCTATGTGCCTCTCCTTGTGTTGGTTATTATTTAAAACAAATCACCTTCATTTGTATCTGACTAAGCCAGAGTGGTACTAATATTAAACAAACACTTGTTTTTTTATTGTATTAGAAAACATATAGTTGAATAATCACAGATCATTTCAGTTTGGTTATACTGTGTTTAAGATGTTTGTACTTAGTATATTGGCGGTGGATTGTGCATCACTGTGAGCAATATAAAAAGCTGAAACATTTTATAAAAAGGGGAAAAAAAAGAATTCAAGACCTTCTTGCTCAACCATGATTAGAAGATCAGACATTCTGAATTTCCTTCAAGCTCTTATGCATAAAATAAAAGTAAATAAAGCACTGCTTTAAGATGGTAGATGAGTGTGTGTGTGTGTGTGTGTGTGTGTGTGTGTGTGTGTGTGTGTGTGTTGAGTAGGTTCCCAAATCTGTCCTACAAAAACAGTTATCCCCAGATGCATGGTAATGTAGCACACTCAACAAAAAATCTTAGATTAAAAAATAAGTTTTTTTTTTACTGTTTCCAATGCCAGCATTCCTCTAAGTCATTCAGAAATGGGTGGAATATTTCTGTTATACAACCTCAAATGTGTCCTAATAAGTGATTGTGCGTGCACATGTGTGTAAACAGAACGATACAGTCAAAAAGTACAGCAGGCAATGTATATCTTTGACAGATTTCTTTCTCGAAAAATGTCTGTTTCCCCTTTCTTATTCCTGTTTGCTGTTTTTAGACTATGGTTTTTATGAAGTTTCGGAGGAAATAAACTGTAGACGTACGTCAGAAAAGCTGCAAGACCTGCATCACAGCAGTTCTGTGGTCAGAAACTGACCAATGATGAATGAGGTAGAGGGGAACTAATAAATTGTGCTGCAACAGATGGGCTACAGTCTGTAATTGCACATCACTATGGTGGTCTTATAGGGTAAATGGACGTAATGAACAGGTGAGTGTAAATACAAGGTAGTTGTCTCTTTTGGTAATTCTGTATATAAATACTGTTTACATAATAATCAAAAAAATATAAAATAATCCAACTTTGATGTATAATCAAATTAAATAAATAATCAAAAGGGCCTCATACAGCACCAAACAACCATCCATTATGAGTGTGAGGGACTGTGTATATAGTGATGTGTGTGTGTGTGTGTGTTATTCACAAACTCTAGATGCTTGAGGATGAAGTAAAAAATTTGTTTCACATGAAACATCCACTTCCCCTTTCATACTCTTGTTTTGCTCCTATTAGACTCTGTATTTATGCAGTTTCATAGAAAATAAACTGTAGACAGATGCAAGAGATGCTGAAAGGCCTGGCTAGTAAAGCGAAGTTTGACATTATCATTACATAAAAAAAATGTACAGAACTTTTTTTAATATAACCCATTATGTGTCTCAGTGAATGTTACATAAAAACAATGAAAGAAGCAGTGATATTGCTTTCTTGGAGAAGCATTTAGATATAACACCTACCAAGACTTGGCCATAAACACAAAAACAACTCATTGCAATAGGTATATTCCACCACCTAATGTTTGTCCCATACTATTTCAGTGCTTGTGCATCTTAACAGTGAGTTTTAGGGACATCTTGTGCACATGCATGACCAGCATTTTGTCGCTGTCCAAAGAAAGACATATATCTCCAAAATAGTAACTTTGCAGCAGGGGGCAAAAACGTTCTTTACTTTCAATGCAAGTCAATGGAAAGAGTTTTTTTCTAAGCATTGATATTTTCACACAATGTAAAGAATGGATCATGCCTTCCACCCAGTGACAGCTGGGATAGGCTCCAGCACCCCCCGCGACCCAGAAGGATAAGAGGTTCAGAAAATGTATGTGTGTGTAAAGAATGGCTGCCGAAAATCGCAAAAAATGGAGATACATGTTTTTCATTGGACAGCATGATATGTGGCCCAACTGGGTGGATAACGCAGTGTACCTAGGAGTCTGTTCATGGCACGTAAAGTGGATGTATTTGAACCTTTATTAGCTTCTGGTAGATCAGTTTTGACAGCGCTGCCAGCTGTATATGTCTGCAGTTCTCACAGTTAGAGACACCAGATAGAGCAGAGTGGGCAGTGACACATGACTTTTGTTCCCGCTACATCAATTTAATCATCATTTATTTGAAAAATCTGTTTCAGTTGTATTTCACTTTTATTGACGAACCAAATTTCCACCTCATGCGAGAGCAAAAACTCATTTGCAACATTCAGATATTTTTTCGAACTTCTAGCTTTTCCGTGCAGCTAATTTTAATGCTCATTTTCAAAATTCTCAGAAAGGGGGTGGATGGAAAACCCTTGATGAATGTTTTTTCCCTTTGTACACTGGTTTAATAATGAATATAGTTAAAGGTGCATTAGTCAATTACTTCAACTTCTTTTGTTACCAATATAAATAATCTGAAAAATATGTAGAACATGATAAAAATAGCTTTTTTAGCAGTGGCATCAGCAAACGTGTATTGTGTGCCTGCGAAACCCCATTTGGAAAACTGCACTACAGATCGGAGGACTTGTCTGTGTTTACACTGACCTCTTGTTAGTCAATTTATAAGACCGTCCTGTACATTACAAAACTCCACCCCCACCATGGTTGTAGTACTGTGGGGGAAAAACACACTGTTGGAGGGATGCATTTGTTTGCATTTAAAAAGATGCAAGTTAAGGAAAAACAACTTTTTTCTAGAACCTTTGCAAAAACATAAAAATTAAAATAGGTCAGAAGTTACTCAGTCCCCCAGGTTTTGTTTTATTAAGAACAGATGAACCACAAAATGCTTAGAACATGCAGGTACTTTACCAGAGACTATATTTGCATTTGATAGACAAAACATCATGATCAGCTTTCTTCTTTAAAAAGCCAAGAGGGAATAACATCAGCAGCAGAAGTGGAATACTTCATATATGACGTCATATATGGCTGGTAGGCGTAGTGCTATGTTACAGAGGGAATCATATTAACTTCAACAATTGTAACCTTGCCTATGAAGAAATTCAGATAGCAGATGCCTCAGGGCCTTTGCAAGGAAGAGGTTTTGATACATAAATAATTAAACAGATGTTTCGTTCTTAAAATCATGTGTGAAAAATATTTTGCTCTTAGTACTGATTCACATCTTGATTTTCCTTTTGGCACTCATGTTAACTTTTACACAGGCTGTGCGAGCAGAACAGCAGTATGTCCCATATGTGGCACTGAAACAGCATGGAATTTAGAGAATATGTGAGAAGATGATTACAGTGAAATACCTTAAGTTCAATGAAAATGACACAGAAAAACAAATAAAACCTTTTTTAAAACAACTTTTTTTCATTCATGACCATTATCAAATAAAATATAAGTTCAGTATTCCACACATACAGATTTACCAGTTGGTCAATCAGGCTTGAAATAACCACCCAATCACAAGTCAGAATGCTGTTGAGAGTAAACATATGAATTGCATTCTTTTATGAATTATAGTTTTCCTGCATTGGTCCCTTCTTCAATTACATCAACTGTTGATGTAGTTTAAGATATTCATGAAGACTGCTGTTTTAATATATGATGCTGACTATCTGGTTAATAGCTGCTCTTGCTTACTAGATAGACACTGGTTGGTACCTATCTCTACCATGACCAAGGAAAACTCACAAAGGGTAGCATCATTTGATTCATTAAATCTGTGTCTGTTCCTGTGAATCTTATCAATGAGTATCAGGAAATAAACAGATATCACCAGCAAACAGGTCAAATCTTAATGAAAAGAAGGCAAATTCAAAAAACAGTTTGTTGTTAATGAGTCTTGTGCAGCAATTCAGCTAAATATTCTCTTCTCACAGATCCAAACAAAGTCATCCTTACAGCTGTAATCAGCCCAGTTCTTTACAGGATCAGACACATAGCCAGTTATGACGCAGTCTTCATCTCCGGTTCTACTATTGGGTTCGTCAGCTTTCCAAAACCTGAAAGGGACGATTACAGTATCCACTGTGTTTTATCAGAGCAGTGAGGAGTAAGAGCTAGTAATGCATCATGACTAGAGCTCAGTTCAGTGGTCTCTTACCCAATGGTCAGTGCTGAGCCGTCCACCCATTTCCAGACCCCCTCTGAGGCGCTGTCAGTCAGACCGATCCAAGCCCACTGACCTCGTCTCAACACCTCAATAAAGTCCTGTTGAAGTGTGAAACTGTTTACATACTCTCACTCACACACTCAGTGTAGTTACACACACCTGATCATGTGCACAAGATTTAGCACATTTTTTGAAAAAAAAAATGCAGAAAGAAAGCAGCTACATTACTGTAAGCTACTCTAACCCAGTCTAAAACTGTCGAGATCATTCAGCAGTAGTCATAGTAAAAAATAAGAGATATGCCAGTCTGCAAAAGTAGTAACCGGTTTGAATTATGAAATAAAAGCAACCATCTCTCTCTCTCTCTCTCTCTCTCTCTCTCTCTCTCTCTCTCTCTCTCACCTGTTCCTTTCTGCTGTTTATGATCACCAGGTTTGCTCCTCTCCTTCTGCAGTCCTCTCTGCTCTCCCTCCAGTTTTTCTTCTCAGTAGAGATGTAATAAATACTGGAGTTGAAGTACAGCCATCCCTTCTGGTTTGCTTTTTCTATAGACATCAGGGATGTAACAGTTTTGAACTGAAATCAAAATCCTCGGTTTAGTCCAGGGTGCATGTGACATTAAATGTGTTTCTGACACGCTTATGTTTTACTTATTAGCATATAGTCTATGAATAGTGCAGTATCTGTTTCACTGACATTGGCATATCACTGACAAAACAAGCACAATGGTTTTATTAACTAATACAGAATTCAGTTTATGTATTTGGTTATATGTGTGTGTCAAACCTTTGGCAACAGCTTTGAACGTGGCTCAGCCACTCAGATTTTAGAACCTTTGCTTCCTGGTTCTGAAGCAGATCAAGCAGGGTGGGTAAGTTAATGCCAATGGTCTTTTCAGCAGACCTGATGGTGTGCTGCAGTTTATGGTTGTCATGTTTGGTGGCAGAGCTGCACTATAATATAATGGAGGCGGTAATGAATGACTCTGTAATGGCTGTGTAGAACCAAACCAGCAGCCATAGAAAGCACATCCTTTGCTAGGTGTTCTTTGTGATAGAGTGGATGTTGGTGTCCTTTTAGGTTCCTGATGACTGACTCTGATGACTCCACAGCCATCATATACTTGTCAGGAATGGTGAGGGGATCAGCAGGTGCCTGTATGGAGCAATTTCTTTATCCAGATTTTCTATCCTGGCTGAAGTGTTACATGTCCCGAGCTCTGGCTGTTGTACCACTCGAGAGCTTTTCTATCAAAAGGCTGAAGGTCTTGTCATGCAGGTTTAAGGGAGGCAGGGCCAACAGGAAGTGGAATTCCCATGTTGTGGTGCAGGGGATGCCCCATGAGCCAGAGGGGCTCAGATTTTTACCAGATTTTTTTTACCAGCGACATGCAGTTTTATAGGAGAAGCACAGGAGCCATAGTCTGAATTGCAATATGCGTGACGATACATCATCAAGGGCTCTTGAACCTATAAAACTGATCAACAACTTATGATCGGTACAGATCACAAAGGTTTTTTGGAATCAATCCCAGGCCCAAGTGACCACAAGGGCCTCTTGATCTATGTGTTCCTACATTCTGTATCATAATGTATGATAAAAAAGGCAAGGGGCCGACACACTTCTGATGGTTAGAGCTGAAACAGGACTTCTCCTAGTTCATATAATTCATCTGCAGACACTCTCGTCTCACTGTCAAGGCAGTACTGTGCAAAGACAATAGAAGAGCTCAGTTCAAGTTTCACTTCTTCAAAAGCTCACTGTTGTGCACTGCTCCAGATCCAGTCATTATCAGCATTATCAGACCTGTCAGTTCAGCATTGTAGGGGGAGAATTTTCCAACATAGTTGACCATGCCCGTGAGTCGCTTAACATCAGTAAAATCTTTGGGCACTACTATCTCCGAGACCACTTTTATCTTGTCTGGATCAGACTGTATGACAGCAGCACTAATGACATGACTTCACCTGAGCCACTGCAAACTCACATTTGTCATTCACAGTCAGTCCTTGTTGCTGGAGCCTCTGTGACACTTTGTGAAGCTGGGCATTATGTTCCTCCCACATAGTTCCCAACACCAGAATATTGTCAACATGGCAAAGCCCTCCAGGCCCTCCAGTCACTGAAGAAAATGTTATGGAGCAGATGAAATCCCAAAGGGGAGGTGCTGAAAACAATACCTCCCAAAAGGTGCAGGAAGGCTTAGTGGGACTGAGTCTCTACGCAGAGCAATTTGCTAGAATCCCAGCAGTAATATCCAGTGTGGAGAAAAACTGTTGATCCAGCCAGCTTGGCCAGTGTTTCATCTACTGCAGGTAGAATGCCTCTCTCCCTTCACACATTCTCATTGAAGCGGACTAAGTTGACAGAAATGTGTATTTTATCATTTGGCTTGGGGGCACAGCCATGCCAGAGCAGCATTCTGTGGCTTCTCTGATGGGTGCAATGACCCCCAGGTCCTCCATTCTTTCATCTCCACCCTCTTCATTAAGGGCAAAAACACTTGGCATGGCACAGCCCACTGAAGACTTTGGGAGACAGTTCTTTGATGTTTGCCTCCAATGTAGCATCATTTGGTTGAGCAGGCCCAACTCTCTTACAGGTGGCAACCTAAGCAGTGGGGAGACCAATCCAGGCACTACAAACACAGTGAGCATTCCTTTTATACCCCTGTGACCTAATGTCGCATCAAGCTGCCCAGTCACCTGTATTGGAGTCTTGCTTGGTCCACATGATTTCTTTGTGGCTCAGCAGAGCAGTCCATGTGTTACTGCAGCTCTATCGTGATTAGCAAAGATCATCTTACCCAAACACAACGTGTCTACACTCTCAATCACCTCATTTTGATCTAGACAGCCGCAGCTTGCACAAGAAATGTGACTGGAATTTACAAAGAAGGGAGGTCCAAAACTTCTGGCACCATTTTCTGTCTTTATTCAAACTCAGTAAAACATGAACCCAAAACTGCATTGCTTCTCATCTGCGTATGTGCAGACAATAAATATTCAAACATCCTAGTACTACAATCATTGTTATTATTTTAGTTATTATTGTTCAAATAAAAGGAGATTGGGCCTTTGCTGTCACTGTGCCAAGGCACTGGTGCAAGCGGAAAGCTAATGGTGGGACAAATTTGTGTCCATCAATTATAAAGCACTGGTTTTAAATGTGCTATATAAACAAAATTTACTTACTATTATTTTATCAATCAATTAAGGCAGAATGTATAGCTAAAAGCACTTACCAATTTCAGAAAGCTTTCCCTGGAGTTTATTTCTCTCTGTTGGTAACCGGTCTTTCTCTAGAGTCAGGTTGGTGTGACTAGTATATAACTGGTCTCTCTCTATAGTCAGGTTGGTGTAACTAGTAAGTAACAGGTCTCTCTCTATAGTCAGGTTGGTGTAACTAGTAAGTAACAGGTCTCTCTCTGTAGTCAGGTTGATGTAATTGGTCTGTAACTGGTCTCTCTCTGTAGTCAGGATAGTGTAACTGCTCTGTAACTTGTCTCTCTCTGTAGTCAAGGTAATGTAAATGGTCTGTAACTTGTCTCTCTCCATAGTCAGGCTGGTGTAATTGGTCTGTAACTGGTATGTCTTGATCCACAGCAGTGCAATGGCCGTCAGCAGGAGGACACAAAGTAGCCCCAGACACACTGCAGTCAGTCTGTAGAATCTGCTCCCTTTAGTGTGACTCTCTAGAGAGAATACACATAGAGATATGTAAGCTTAAGACATAACCAACAATCACTGTTTAACCACACATAAATCCATCACAATCATCGACACAAAAGTTTGTAGTTTATTAAGTACATCTACCTCATAATTACCTTATTGCTGCAAATTGTTGATGTACAGTTAGACACTATACAAAGATTGTATAGAAGGTACAGCAAGATTCATGCCTATTCAATCCAATGGGACAAAAAGTGATAGTTCCTGTCTTCTTTAAGTCTTCATCCACTTCATCCTTCCCCTTTTCCCAAAGCAACAGCTGCAGATTGTGCAGAAAGACTCAGCTGTTGGCTGAGCAGATTCAAAACAAAACAGGTTTTTTTTTGTTTTGTTTTGTTTTTTTATCAGACCCTAGCAATCACAAAACTGACCACAGTTTCGCTGTAATCCTGTAGGAAGAAAAGTAATCGCTAAAGTTTAGTGAAATTTTTCCCTGATGTGAACAGGCCTTGGGTCACTGTTGTCAGCATAAAGGAGGAATGAGTCACCTTCCCTCTCACCAAAACCATGTGACTGTGTTCCCAGAAATCTCTTTACATCTCTCGTTTTACATCTCTGAATCCACTCTCAACTATAGCTCATCTTTTTTTATGCAATGTTTATGTCATCCTCCAGCCCTTCAACAGGTCACAAGATTTGGTGTTGTGGTGGTATTTTTCTTGTAAAAGACAGGGCAGAGGGGGGCTAAGAAATTAGTCAAGTACAGTCAATCCACTTGCAAACCTACAAAGTGCATCTCTGTGGTAGGCGTACCTGACAAATTGAGCTCTAGGCAGACGAGCTGAAAAACAGACATGCAGGCGAAACACAACTAAAGAAGCACTTCGTGAAAAATGAGAAGGTCTGTTAATCAGTTATTTATGAGGAAGTTTACATGGTACTGGAATTAAGAAGAGTTTCTAAACAAAACACACCCCAGACTGATCAGCACATAAGAAAAGCCTGACATGCTGCTTGAGATTTGGACTTTTTTTTTAAGTTGGGCTACCTGAAGCTCTCAGCTCTCCACATAAGCTCTCCACAAAAACAGCAAGCAAAATATGTCTCTCCTCTACTATTGAGAATGTGTTCATTCGGTCTGTATATTAGGCCAGTCCTGAAGCTTACGACTCCTGACTGTTACCATATTGGGTAACACTTTACTTTAAGGGTACATGATCTGCCAGTAATTAAGGCATTTACCAATGAATAACTAATCAGAAAGTAATGAGTCATTAACCAGGAACAAATTAATAAGTCATATACTAACAACCACAAGACTAAATTACTAATGCATGTACTAATGAATGAACATGAAGGCAATAAAGGCTTTCTTCAGCATCTGAATTCATCAAGAATTCATGTGTTAATTAATGTTTATTGTCACGAGATCCCTCTGACTCACAGTGCTCTGGAATACTGTGGCTATCAAAGTCAACTGTGTTTTATCTGTAGTTCCATCCTTTCATCATCTTGTCCTTCTGCTTCATCATGCTGTGTAAGCAGCCCTTGTATCTGCCTGTTACCATCTGTCAGGTCTTGAGTCTTGAGTCAGGCCTTGTCTGTTTCCTACCTACCTTACCTATGTTACCTAGCTAGTGTCTGTTTATTTAATAAAAGTAAAACCTTAATTATTTTTTTAATAAAATTAAAAACTGACATTGTTTTGCAACTAGTCCTCGTTTGTGACCGTTGCCATAGTTTTAATTCATCTTTCATATTAATAATATGTCGTTTTAACTCCTATGTTGATACACAGTGCCTCATGAGGCAATGGTTTATCCTACAGTTACCACTGAACTCAGAAATTAGTTAATAATTAATAGGGAAAGTGTAGTGCCTTTCTCCTACGGTCAAAAGAATCCTTGATTCTATGCACATTTTTGTGCTGTTCCTCATTTAGTACACCTGACTGAACTACAAGCTCCTGTTGTGCTGGTTGAGGTGTATCAGAGTAAGAAACGTGCAACACAATGCAGAGTCAATTCTCAATTCATTATAAAGAAAGCAGTGATTACTGATTGTTCATGGTGAATTCATACTGTTTGTGCCCCCTAAAGTAAAGTGATGAACCAGTCACACTTTATTACTGATTAAAAGCTAACAAAATAGCAGGGGTTAATCATTACTCACCAAACTTCACTCTTTCATTCTTTTGCCCTCACAAGAACAGTGATGAAGGATAAGTACAAGACGACTCATATAAAAACATGGCTGTAAAAATTCATAGGAATAAAAAATACTTTTATCATCATCTTATGATTTTTACACAATACACAGAACCAGAGCACGTGAATATGTCAGTGTAGTATACGGAAAATGAAGAGGAACCAATACATAGTGGTTCTGTTGTTCCACAAACATCTGTGAAACGGACAGGACTGCTACTTAACTACATGAAGATATTCATATTGCAGCATGCGGTGTTTCCAAAGCACTCACACAAGATCGAGTCCATGACTCAGTTTTACTGAAAAACTCAGAACGGGGTAGCTACAAAAGAAAAGGGGAAAATATCGTGCTAGGCTGTGAAGCACTGTCACTGCACACACGCAGCCCTTCAGAATAAGAGTCCCTGTGGCCCGACGCCACATATTAATAGAATCACACGATCCTCGTGAGAAACACAAACACCTTACACAGTGTTTAGCAAACACTCACAACACTCAGATAACTAGGCAATACCATGTGTAAACATTATCTACGGTGCAAATAGCGTATATCATCCAGTATGAGTATGCATAACTCACCTGTAAAGAAAAATGCTTTCATGTTGGACAATTTTTTACAATTATTTAAATGATTTTCAAATGATTTAAATGATTTTTTTAATCTTCTCTTAGAAAAATAGCTGTGATTTCCAGCTGCGGAAACAGTTGAAGAGTTTCATTCCAAAGGGCTATGTTTCCATTACAAAAAAAAATAGATATAACATATTTTTAAAAAGAATAACAGATGTATAATGGAAAACATTTTCATTTTCATTTTCAGTAAATAAATAAGTAAATAAATGTTTATTAAACATACAACAGTTAAGACACTGAAGGAAGCCTTTATTACCTTCATCTTTATTCATTAGTACATGCATTAGCAATGTAATCTTGTGGTTGTTAATATATGAATTATTAATTTGTTCCTGATTAATGACTCATTACTTTCTGATTAATTGTTAATAAGTAAATGCCTTAATTACTGGCAGATCATGTACCCTTAATGTAAAGTGTTACCCAATAGTGGTTCTTCTTCCACTTTTTCCATTAAATTTAAGTCATTAGCTTTCCTTGAGCTCATGTTCATTCATTTAGTAAGGCCCAATCCCATTTCTTATTTTTAGCCCTACCCCTTGTTTTTGAGTGTCACGTTGCCCCTTGGACCTGAGTTACAGGAGTAGTGGTTGAAATCTTCTCCTACAAAATGGAACAACCCTCAAATAAACAACATTACTTCATTAACAGGCTACTAGCGGTGCTCTGTAGGCGACCCTGCCAGTTTGCAGTGATAGCAGAGGAGGGTAAAGTTCAGCTCCTCACTGCTGGGCTTTAGTTAAATTTAGAGCATCATGGGCCTTCAAAGAGGTGGGATGAGATAATTATTTATTATCGCCCACTCTTAATTCTTCAGTGACATCACGCTAAAGTCAGCTAATTGGCAGCATAAAGCATGAAACAAGCATAAAAAAATGCTAGTAGTATGCTAATATTTCTGTAGCTAGCTAGCTAGCTAAATTTTCCCATTCCACCTTAAATGGTGCAGTAGTTCCGATGCCCAAGGTGCCAAAATGCAACCGCTGCACCATTTAAGGTGGAATGGGAAATTTAGCTAGCTAGCTACCAACATATTACTATACTACTAGTGATTTTTATGCTTGCTATGAAGAAAACGACCATAATACACTGAAACGGCATTAGACTAAGATAATACAGTGGTTATCGTAATTTTTAACAGAGAAAATTCTCACATTTGTAGGTTTCTTTAGTCGCTTGCACAGACATCTTGCCAGTTTTTCTATTTCTCATAACACTGTTTGGAGTGTGCCTCTGAAAAAACGTGTAGCCCTAACACTTCACCCTACCCCTCTATCTCAACAAAAATCGGGACACCCTACCCCTAGACGTGAACGTGCAAAATGGAGGGACAAGGACTTAGTGGTAGGGACGAGGGGTGAAATGGGATCGTGTTACCACAGTAGTTAATCTTAGTTGCTGTAGAAGTTAATCTTAGTTACTACACTAGACAATCTTAGTTCCTTTATTAGTCAACCTTAGCTATTATATAAGTTAATCTTAGTTATGATATTAATTAATCTGTCTGTTCATTCTGTAAATTTGGTTTATTTATTGTCAACTATGTCAGAAACAAGCAATTCCTTCTTATGTTTGTTCATTTGCCACAAAGCATAACCCATTATTTGTTACTGATATTTACTGTATTAGTTCATGACTTGTTTGCTCATAGTTTAGGTTAATAAGGAACCACATTCTACAGTGTTACCTAAACTGCTGGCTGTGCTGCAACAATACTGGATAACACTATGAACAATATTGTTTCTATACAAAAGTGTATAAAAGTGAATTTGTTATCTTACCTGTTTGCTGTGTTTGTGAGATCCCCCTTGTGTTGGCATCCTCCGTCCCTGTGTTGGGGTCTTGACCTCGAACAAGGTCTGCACTCTCATAAACATTCACCACCGTCTCTATTTTATCTCCTCTGCTCAGCTCCTCAAGGCAGATCACATCATCAGAAACACTTCGAAACATCTTTAATCTATAAAACACCCCAAATCTCTAATCTATAAAGCATTAATACGCTAAATGACTGTGTCTCTGTCTGTAGAAACTCTACTGAACTGCCGCACTTCCTCACTAGTTTAACTGTTTTAGTGGTTTTAATAAAGGAAGTGATCTACCACACAAAACTGTATCAAAATGCTGTACTGTGTGAAGTGAGAGAAGCTGACGTGTTGTCACGCACTTTAAGCTGGATCGTACCCTCATACAACAGTACAGTAAAGAAATATTATTCTGAATTAGTCATCAAATAATTAGACATTTCTTATTACTTATTACTGTTTCAATGACTGATCAGTAGAACACTGCCAAAAAGAAGACTTTAACCAGAAAATCTTTAAAAAAAGAATGATAGATCTTGTTATGTGTGTATAAAATCAATAAGCTAGCTTTCAGAAACCTCGTCTACAATAATTGTGTTGAGACAAATTATACAGACGTCTTCAAATGAGCTAATAAACTTTTTTGAGAGAAGTGAAAAGTTTCAACCTACTCTACTTTTAAGAAATTAATTGGACAGATGTATAGCTATATCATCTTAAAAAAAACATTGCATTCTTTAAATTAGTAAAATTGTCTTTCTTCTTTCATAATGAAAAGCTTTGGAAATTTTCAAGCTAGATGACTCATGTTACACCTACAAATCTAGTCAAGTCTGTTAAAATAGACTAGATCTATTGTTATTTTTCAGGGTTTCTTGCATGTTAAGATTTCAGTAGCCACGTTTATACACAGCCTAATAATCCATTAATAATCCGACTAATAGCTCGATCGGAAAAGAATACATGTAAACACATCAATCGGAATAGTCTAGTCCGATTGAGGCCTTTCGGAATACAATTTCTATCCCATTGAAAAGGGTGGTAATCTTGTAAATAATTAAATAGAAGAATAATAGGCGTGTAAATGCCTGTATCCGATTGCATTTCCAATGAGAACGTGTTCTGCGCATGTGCGCCACGTCATAGCACAAGTTTATAATGTTCAACATGGCGGGAGCAGAAACTGGTCTGCAGAGGAGCGATGAGTTTCCAGTTGGTGCACTTGTGTTTTTAATTGCTTTAAAATGATGTCAGACTCAGAAAAATGTACCTCAAATGTACTTATTAAAGAAGGCGAGAGGAAGACGTCGTGTTCTGCTCCTTGGACCTCACGGGATGTTCGCTGTCATGGTGACGTTCACTCTAAGTGGTTCTCCACGCATGCGTGCCATTTTGGATCGGATTACTTGTAGTGCGCATGTAAACGAAGATTTTCATCGGACTGTTGAGTAGAGGGACTGTTAATCTGTAATCAGAATATATTCAATCGGATTGGCAAAAATCTTTGTATGTAAACATAGCCAGTGTTTGCAGTGTCCCCACATGAGCAGCTGAATTATTTGTTTGCTTTTTAATCCATCGCCTTCCTCTCTCTGGGGTTAATAAAGCAGTTTATTATCATGTGTGTGGATTTTTGTTTTTTTACATTTCATGCCTCGTTTTTTAAGTATTTTCAGGAATGTTTCTTATTTTGGTAACACTTTATTGGGAGTGGTCTTTTGTAGATGATTAATGAATTCTTAGCAGATTATCAGTAACACATCAATAACAATAACATATCAGTGAAGTAGCAGTAGTGCAGCATCTGAATACACTGAAGTAAATATCCTGTAGATGTTCTGTTGATACATTACTTACATTAAGTAGATGTGCTGTTAATATGTTACTTCCATTACTCAAAACCCAACTATGCCCAACCTTACCCAGAACCTAACCCTAAACCTGGCCCTAATCCTAGCCCTAACCTTAACCTCAACCCAAAACCTAAACCTGGCCCTATTCCTAACTCTAACCTTAACCTCAACCCAAAGCCTAATCCTAACCCTCAGAGGTTTTTGCCATGTTACTGAGAGTCCGTTGAGTGTTTGTTTCATCTAAAAGGATGACTCAAAGTTTTAAGCATCACAGTATTGTTTTAAGATTGTTCTAAAGACATTTTTGTTTATTTAAAAGCAAAGTTTCTCTGGTTTTGAGTCAGAAGCTTGTTCTCATTTCAGGACATTTTGTTAAAATAAGATTTATATGCTATTTTTTCTAATTGTAGATTGTTATAATGACATCAGAACAAAAAAATCTAGCTTTAACCCAGTAATTACTCATTTACAAATTCCCATTAAATGTATTCATTAGACTTCCTTCAGCTCATGTTGATTGTTCATTCATGAAGTGTCATAAAACATACTGTGTTCTTACTATGTACCAATTTTCTTGTGCTGGGTTGATACTATATTATAGGCTTGGGCAAAATACTTTGAAGAAGTAGTGATGGACAAATACTGAATGCACTGTTCTAAATGTATTCAGTAACATTTTCTGTTATAATGCATAAAAATAAAACATTTCAGACATATTTATAATACAGTTACAATACATCCTGGTAAGGCATATGTGAAAAACCTTTTTTCTTATTTTTAGAAGTCATGATGAGTAAAGTTCTCACTGTATTGGCTGATTATTTTGCTTAATCATTTCTTTTTCAACACTGATGTTTTTTGCAATAAAACAGTTGAATTCTGTCTTTATCACTCACTCGTTGTCTCTGTTCTATTCAGCAAAGTGAGACAAGCATGTACGTAACGCTTTAAATGGGCAATGTTAGCCTCTAGAGGGCAGTAATGTAGTGTATCTGCTGTCTCATTCATAAAAAAAAATCTCATTCAAACATTGTCACTGTGTTCTGTTTCTGTTGTCTCTGGATTTGTGTGCATTATTGCTGGGTTATTCCACACCAATGCACTAGGTTTCCAATCCTAATCCTGGAGTTCCCCATACCCTTGCACATTTTAGTGTTTCCCCTGCTCCCAAAACACATAATCCAACTAAACAGCTTATTAACAAGCCCTTCAAGACTTGAAGTAGGTGTACTGTGATTCCACCTGGGCCCTGAGCCTTGTTTAGCTTTGTTTTCAGCAGTTGTATGTAGACATCTACCCTGGTAAGGAGTGTGCTATGGTCCATACTTGAAGGGTCTTTTACTGGATTGTGCTGTTTAGATATTTGATTGGTCAACACATTTTCTGTGTGAAATGGTTGTTTATTGTTCATCTTGGAAAATGAATGTTCTAGTGTATTTATTTATTTATTTATTTATTTACTTTTTATAATTTTGGGGGATTTTAACCCAATTTTCTCCCCAATTTAGTCGTTTCCAATTCCACCCGCTAGTTAGGACTCCCCCAATCACAGGATACGCTAGGAGGGTGAAGGATAGCACAGGCTTCCTCCGAGACCTGTGAAACCAGCCACCGCTTCTTTTCGAACTGCCGCTCACGCAACGTCATTGGACAGCTGAACGTGCTCGGAGGAAAGCGCCAGCCGCCAGATCAGTTACATCAGCTAACAGACGCCTGCGCTGACTAGCATCGCGTTGAGTGATGGGAGGAGAAGGGAGGGCCATCCTTCCCACCCAGAGAGAGCGGGGCCAATTGTGCTCTCTTGGACTCCCGGCTACGGATGGCTGTAGCATCACCAGGGATCAAACTCATGATCTCCTGATGATAGGACCAACGCCCAGTTTATTTTTGATACTTCAATTTAGCTTTAGCCCCTTAACAAGCCATGGGCTTGCCAGCGGGCCCAAAGTTTATTACACACTTCTATAACCTAGGAATAGCTACATTAGTCTGCATTTAAGTCCCTGTAGTTACTGAATAATAATGAAATGAATGTTAAGGTGGTAGGGGTTTATTTTTATGGCAAGGCCAACAGCTTTAACTGATGGCCAGTCCGACTGTTTTTAAGCTTGTTTTTATTGAAAATTTGTTTTATATGTGGGAAGATCCAGGGTTTTGGAATGGAATAGGTTTTAATGAATTCCAGCGGGATGGCAGCATCTATGTAGCATTTGATTTATTCCGTAAATACAGATTTTTGCTCATTGATTCCACTCTCAAAATTGTCCACACAAAGTCTCCCCTGCATGCATGAAACTGTGTCCTCTGCTGTCTCAGTTTTTCTCTGTAGACTGGAAGCAGGAGCACCATAGCACAAGTCTATTGTTTTATTGAATCTGGTTGGTGTGTTTATTGCTGTTACCATTATAACACGCAAAAAGACAAGCAGTAGTTGGATAGCATTTCATGATGCTGTAAGGACCAATCAGCTTCAATCAGTTCAGTCAGCTTTTTAAACAGACTGGGTTTGGATGTCCCTCTACAAATGAGCCACAAGAGAGCACCAATGACCAGATTAAAGCATGTTTAGTTAAATATCATCTGCTGTTACAGTTAAACTGAAATGCAAACAAAAATACAAACATTACTTATTCTAAATGTAACTGAAGTTAACTTATGAAGAGGTAGAAAGTCTCATAAGACTGTACGAGAACATTAGGATGATAAATTGAGGTTGGGAAGTTGAGGTCTGCGTCAAAATCTTCTGCATCACGCAGCTACACACACACACACACACACACACGTTATACTCAGAATATTCTCTTCTCACAGATCCAAACATTCTTGAAATTACAGGTAAAATCAGCCCAGCTGTAAACAGGATCAGAGGCATAGCCAGTTATAACACAGTCTTCATCTCCATGATGGCTGGGTTCTCCAGGTCTCCAGAACCTGAAAGAGAGAATCAGAGTGTCACTATATTTATCAGATCAGTGAGGAATAAGAGTCAGTAACTCCATCATGATCAGAGCTCAGTTCAGTGGTCTCTTACCCAGTGGTCAGTGCTGAGCCGTCCACCCATTTCCAGACCCCCTCTGTCTCACTGTCAGTCAGACCAATCCAAGCCCACTGACCTCTTCTAAACTTATCAATAAAGACCTGTTGAAGTGTGGCAACTCCTTATAAACTCCCAACAACACATACACATATAAACACAGTGCATACTTACACACATGAACATAGTACAATATTAATACAAAAGAACAATCAGGAATAACAAGATGCTATTCATGATAATACTCGCTTTTATTGAATCTCTTTCTCTATCAATTACACACACACACCTGTTCCTCTCTGCTGTTGATGATCACCAGGTCTGCCCCTCTCTCTCTGCAGTCCTCTCTGCTCTTGTTCCAGGTTTTACTCTCAGTAGAGATGTAGTAAACACTGGAGTTGAAGTATCTCCATTCCAGTTTGTTAATGTTTGTCTCTGTGGAGGCAGAATATGATATGAGTTGTTTTCTGCATTTCCATGGTGAAATATGTACACTTTCATAAGACCAACGTATTATAAGCCCAACTGGCGCATCCACACGTTAAGATCTGTGACTCACTCACCCAGTTGAGAGAGTTTCTTCTGTAATTCATCTCTTTCTCTCTGGAACTGCTCTTTTACTGTCATTAAGTTGGAGAACTTTATACACAGTGCTATGGTGGCAGTCAGTAGGAGAACACACAGCAGCACCAGACACACTGCAGTCAGTCTGTAACATCTGCTTCCTGCAGTGAGAATGTAAATACAGATCAGTGAACATGGAGATACATTCTCTTTTCATTTAAGAAGTTTCCTTCTGTCTAGTCCAGGACTAGGCTTAATTCCTGTCTGGGAAGCCGAGTCACAATAATTATATTGCACAGTTAACAGGAAGGTCTGCAGAATTTTCAAAATCTCTGCATAATTCAGTTTTTAAGATGATGATTTGGAGTGGTTTGATGTGAAATGTTCCATAGAGAAAATTACAGAATTGTCCACAGTAGTGGTGATAGGAACCAGACGTCCAAAGCGCTCAATGCCTCTAAAAACTCCATACAGAAAGTTTGAATGTGAAATGGTTACGTCTTTGGTGCCTGATTCCTGAGACGTCGTTTTATATTTTTGAGAAGTGTTTGGTCTAAAATCTATTTTTTTCCCCCAATTTTCTCCCCAATTTAGTCACCTCCAGTTCCACCCACTAGTTAGGACTACCCCAGTCACACGATACCACCAACGCTAAGAGGGCGTAGGCTAGCACAGGCTTCCTCAGAGACCTGCGAAGCCAGCCGCCACACTGCTGCTCACGCAACGGCACTGGACAGCCAAATGCACTCAGAGGAAAGCGCCAACCGCCAGTTCTCTTAGGTTCACTCGTCATTTTTCATAATAAATAAACCTGCTGTGTTTGTCTTGTAAACATGCTGATCTCTGGTTCCTATCACCACCACTGTAAAGAAATCTGAATAGAAAAGTTTCTTTACAATGAACCATTTCATATTAAACCACTCTGAATGACTGCTTATATCACACGTGTCAGGCTCCAGTCCTCGTGGGCCAAAACTCAGACTTCACTCTGAGTTTTGCCTCATTACACACACCTGATTCAGCTCATCGGCTAATTAGCAAGGCCTTCACGAACTGAATTCAGAGTGTTAGATAAGGGTAAACGCTAATCTCCATGGCACTTTGGCCCGGAAGGTCCCCAGTTTGACACACCTGGCTTACATCTTAACCTTCGAATCATGCGGAAATGTTTAAAAATTAGTGGTACTAATACAGTTCTTTTACAGTTTTTCATTAGCTTGATGGAGGAGATCTGTAAACACTGATTGGTTGAGAGTCATGTCAATCATTATTTTGCTTGATTGGCTTAACATTGTTAAGCAGTACTTAAAAACAGGAGAGTCTAAGGTGTCAGCCATTCAATCAAAATCTTCAAGCTTACTACGGGAAATATCTGCATAATTAAATAGTTGAGATGTAAACAAAATCATTCAGAGTAGTTTGGTGTGAAAAGCTCAGAATTGTTTGCAGTGATGAAATCTTTAGAGTTGAATACCCCTAAAAGCTCCCTCACAGAAAGATACTGTGTGAAATTTTTTTTGGCCTAACAATATATTTTAAATAGAGTTATGGTGTATTTTTGCTGGGGCTTCAAAGCTAGACTGAACTCAGAGTACAATACCGAACTAAATATGTCCCATACAGCATACATTACAGTAAAGTACAATGCTTTCTGTATGTAGTAATATTGCTTGATAGAACAACACTATTTCTATTCTATGTGTAAAAAATGGATTTTGTTACCTGTTTGTTGTGTTTGTAGGGTCCTCTTTGTGTTGGTGTCCTTGATCTCTATGTTGGGGTTGTGAGCATCTGCACTCTCATAAATATCTACCACCATCTCCACTTTATCTTCACTGTTCAGCCCCTCAGGGTAGATCACCTCATCATAAATGCTCTGAGACATCTCTAATCTATGAAACACCCCAAATCTCTAAAAGACTAACACACTGAATTACTGTGTCTGAATCCCTACTGTAGTGAGGCCCTTTCTGGATTGCTTAAATGCTTTAGTGGTGTAATAAAGGAAGTGACCAAAAACTGTATTTCAGTCTTTTTCCATGCGTGGTGAGTGTGCAACACCTGAGCTCTTATGTTCTTTCTCAAATCTGGTTCTTAAACTCATATAATATTACATTTATAGAGATATTCTAATGAAATTTGAGTTTCTGTATTTATTATGACCTGCAAGTGCATTATTTTCCAATTAATTACCAAATAATTCAAAAAATACTTGACGAATGTTATGCGTATATAATACCACCCTTATATGAATACATTTGCAGTTCATCAATATAAACATTATTTTAGCCATCTATGCTTCTGAAAATGTGTCAATTTGAATTCAGTTTATTTAGTTTATACAAATTTTCAAAAATGATGATTTTTATATAATATTTTTTATTAATGTCTAAATGTGCCACCTGACAATTTCTGGGTGTTAAAGAAAAAAAATCCTGTGACAAAACCTACATTTAGATAAATTTTGCACTTTTAGAGATGAACACAGGCAAGGAACGCATTAGTGATGAGTAGCTTGAATGTAATCCTGCCAATAATCACCCTTTACTACATTATAATGTACCTGTAATCTAAATACTGTTTATTTATTCTAGTCTATAGTTAGCTGTTCACTTTCTCTGTGTCTGTCAGACCAGTACAAACAGTTCCTGCTCTGCTGTAGCACCTATGTTATGAGTAGTAGTGGAAAAGAAGAACTGTGATTTTCTTATTGTGTAACCCTTAGCATTAGCATTTCTCCATTGCTTCTGAAAGTAATTGTCAGGCATCAGTTGTTTAATTCAAATTTTGTTCTTATGTACCAATTACAAACACACTGCAAATCACAGGAGTGTGAGCAGAAGTTGGTGAGCATTTCATAGTCCTGTAAGTAGTAAGTAGTGAGTATGTATTTTCACTTGAGGATTGTCTGAATCTTACTTTGATACAGATCAAAGTAAGATTGAGACACAGATACTTACAGCTTCTAAAAAGATGTTCAAGATTGTGATGGCTCAGTTGTTGGTGGCTGCTTTCAGGTGCACAGTGAGTCTACTGAAACATCTACACCATATATACCCATGCTCCAATTACCATACATTTGCACTTTGTCATTCTCAGCACTGCAGTGACACTGACGTGGTGGTGGTGTGTTAGTGTGTGTTGTATACGAGTGGATCAGACACAACAGTGTAAGAGTGCTGAATGTTGAAAATGATTTCCCACCTAAATAATACCTGCTCTGTGGTGGTATTAAGGGGTTCCTGACCTTCGAAGAACAGGGTGAGAGGATTAACAAAGTACACAGAAAAACAGATGAATTACTATTTGTTATTGTAGAAATACAAAGTGCACCTAGACGGTAAGTGAAGCTGATGAAATGGACGATGGATGTACAAGGTAGGTTTCCCCCGATGCTTTTTTTCCAACTAAAATGAAAAAGTAATTCACCCATTTCACCTGTTCATAGTGAGAATTTGTTGGAAGGACACTTAAATGATGGGGATACCGATACCTGTGATTAGTGCTACGTGCTTGCGTGACTGGGCCTTTATATAGGTTTGTGGTTTTGTTTACTGCCAGGAGTACATAGAATATAAAACATTTTAATTACACCGATCAGGCATAACATTATGACCACATCCTTGTTTCTACGCTCATTGTCCATTTTATCAGCTCCACTTACTATATAGTTCTACAATTACAGACTGTAGTCCATCTGTTTCTCTGCATACTTTGTTAGCCCCCTTTTATCCTGTTCTTCAGTGGTCAGGACCCCCATGTACCCTCACAGAGCAAGTACTATTTGGGGAGTGGATCAGACACAGCAGTGCTGCTGGAGTTTTTAAAACACCTCAGTGTCACTGCTGGACTGAGAATAGTCCATTAACTAAAAATATCCAGCCAACAGTGTCCTGTGGGCAGCATCCTGCGACCACTGATGAAGGATGACCAACACAAACTGTGCAGCAGATGAGATATCGTCTCTGACTTTACATCTACTAACAAGGTGGACTAACAAGGTAGGAGTGTCTAATAGAGTGGACAGTGAATGGACACAGTGTTTAAAAACTCCAGCAGCACTGCTGTGTCTGATCCACTCATACCAGCACAACACACACTAACACACCACCACCATGTCAGAGTTACTGCAGTGCTGAGAATGATCCACTATCCAAATAGTACCTGCTCTGTGAGGGTCCATGGGGGTCCTGACCACTGAAGAACAGGGTAAAAGGGGGCTAATAAAGTATGCAGAGAAACAGATGGACCACAGTCTGTAATTGTAGAATTACAAAGTGCACCTATGTAGTAAGTGGAGCTGATAAAATGGACAATAAGCGTAGAAACAAGGAGGTGGTCACAATGTTATGCCTGATCGGTGTATAATAAAGGCTTTGATTACTAAAGAGATTGCTTGGCCCCACAAAATGTCAAAATAGATGAAGGAATCATAAATTTGCTTAGCATTTCTACCACTCCAAAGGGTTGGTGTCACTGTCGAGCTCCATGGTCTGCAGTTAGCTTCTCAGCTAAACCTTAATAGTCTCCTCATCTGAGAGAGCTGCTTTTTCTTTTTATCACAGGTTCAGCTGCTGCGCCTGCTAGAGCCTTTGGGAGAGCTAATAAAGGATCAAGAAGAGAAACCATATTTAGCAGGTCATCTGTGCCAGTATATGAAAAGATTTCATTCAAGTAGGTTAGAACAGTTGTCTTAACGTCCTTGGTTAGTTGAGTGTCATTTTCTACAAAATGGTTTCATTGAAGAGATGGAGTACTGGCTTGAGGTAAGAGACCCTAACAAAGCATCCACCAGACAAGGGATCTGTGAACTCCTGAAGAGGGCTCAACAACATGTTTATTGCCTCCAGCACATCCATGTTCTGCCAGCTGGGCACCAAGTGCCTTGTTTTCTTGTCAGTTTCAACACTTGATTTGTGTCTCTCTTCTGTTATATCAGTCTTTAGGTCATCTTTTTTCACTATGCCCATCTAGTAGGTTTCTTTGTTGTGAGCTGGTGCTTTGACAGACCCAGTTCAGCCTGAGCAATGGCTAGGTCCCTCTTTCTTTTCCAGGAGTATGAGAAGGCACCAACATTTTTTTTGCATACATTCATGCATTTAGTACTTTTTTGGTATTACAGAAATATAGTAGTCTACTAATTCAAATTGTCAAATCATTAAGCTGGACTGCCTTCACGATGATGGTCCCACTGTCATTTGTGATGTGAGATTTGCCATCTCCCTCTCCCCAGGACTCAAGGGCCCCTTCTCAAGCCTTGTGCAATTATTTCTCCATTGTGGTCGTTCAGGAAATACGATGTTTGCAAACAGTGGTTGTGTAATTTCCAGTCATCACTGATGAAGTGCACCATAATGCTGGGGTATGGCACCATTGTGTTAATCGACCAAAGGCCTGTTGTTGTAGAAAAACGGGCAACTGTACGAATCTCACTGTTTTACTGATGCTACTGGTTGACGGCCTTGACCCGAAGTACACTGTCACTAATTCTGATTACATGAATCTAGCAGGGACACTTTTACCTTTACTTTAACACAAAAGGTAAACTTCCTAAGAACAGCAAGAGGGACTGAAAGGCACTTTATTAATGACACTGTCAGATTGAGAGGGAATTTGATGGAGGGATTTGAGGAAGGTACCTTTACTGAGTGTCTCAACAGCTCTTTTGAAAATGAATATGAGTTTCAATTTAATACTGGTACACTTTTACCATTTAAAATATCACCAAATTAACACTGGCATATATTGCTGGTTCTGAATCTTGGTCTTGCAGTAGCCCTGTTGTAAATGCACCAGTGAAATTACAATAGCCATTGTTATTAAATATTAATGACTGTAATAAAGAATTACCTGTCACATTCTTACTTGCTTTATCAAGAAGCAATTTTAAATGTAGTTCCATGTGCATTAGTTCCTCAGAATGCTTCTTCTTTTGAGAAGGTTTTATTGATTCTTTCACTGTGAAGATGAAAAGTACAGATACAGGTGGAGAACATAGAATTTGTACCCCTCCTCTGGCACAAGGAATGACTGCATGAGGAAAGTTCAGAGTTCATCAGAGATTCCAGCTATGGCATCAGTTTTAAACTGCAGTCTCTCCTGAGGCCTTTTCTGGTTCTTTTGATGAAATCTGCCATAAAGAGCGCTTTTCTCTGGACAGGGTGCCCATAGTTTTCCATGGATGGCCTGATTTCAGTCTTACATTATTTACCCACACAGGGTTAATAGTCAAATGTCCACAAGTTGCCTGTTTCAGTGCGTCCTCAGTTGGGGCACATTCTCAACATATGGCTGGAAAAATGTCTGTTGTGTGCGACTGCTAACATGACTGGAAACATGTCCAACAATGTCTGATATGAACACTGCCAGGGGGTATTTGAGACTAAGCACTGCAGTCCTTTGCAGATTATTGCCATCATAATGGTGACTCATAGAACACCAGCCTGTGGGTGCAGCCCATGTGTAACAATTGAACTAAAAAACGATAAAGAGCAAAACACAGAGGATCAGATTCGTAAAACACACTTCCAGAATTTACTGTGACCTTAAGAGCAAATAGCTCATGGTAACACACTTTACCATTCACTTCTGGTATGTTTTAAAATGTGAATTCTTTCATTCTTTAATGTTTTCAAACCTGTTTGGTTTCACATTATGAACATATATCACTTGTACATGCATGGTGATCAATCAAAGATAACTTTGATCTGTTTGGATTCAGCATCACGGCACACTACATTCATACAGGTACATGAAGAGGAAGGTGACTGACTTGCTTGAGGATTTTAGAAAACAAACTTTAGAAAAAGTAATGCAAATGAAAGAGGCCGTGTATTGCAGTGATTTTACTGTTTAAGAAACATCACAGTAAAAGACTATTCCATTAACAGAATTTTGTTACCACAGTTAAGAAACACAACAGTCTAA